ATTTAAATTGTACAGTATTGAAATTTGAAACTTGTAAAATGCAATAATTGTTAATTAAGAATAGATAGTGAGTTTGTATTTAGATGATCTCTTAGGCCATGTTTCATAGGGTGACAATTTCATGGAAAATGGAAAACAAATTTAGATAATCTCTTAGGCCCTGTTTGATAGGGTGATAATTTCATGGAAAATGGAATTTGTTTTCCACTTTTTAATTGTTTGATTGGGTTTTTTTTTTTTTTTTGGCAACTGGAATTCCCACTTCCTCCATCACGGTCACAAATTTTTGGTTTTCCTTGAATTCATTTTCTCACCACTTAGGTGGGAAATTGGTTTTTCAGTTTTTTTTTTTTTNTGAAAATCAATTCCCACCAATTTGGTGGGATTTGGTTTTCCTGTTTACTTTTTTTTTTTTTTAATTTGTAATGAAAACAAATTATATCCCCAATTGTAACAAATTTTATCCCTTTAATGGACAATTTTCATTAAAAAAAAAAAAAATCAAACGAACACCAAAAGATTCAAATTTTCAATATTTTCCAGGTGGAAAATTATACCAATAAAACACAACTAATTGACAATTCCTTGAAGAACAAGTTCTAGGCAATTCAATTTCCTGAAATTCATTTTCTTTTCACCCAAATTCTACTATTGCAATCAAACAGACTTTTAGAGATACTCTTAAAACACTTGTGCTCTATTTGATTGCACTTCAATTCCATGAAAGATGGAAATTCAATTCTATTTTTCACATTTTTACATGTTTGATTGTCCAAATTTTTCATGGAATTGGTTTCCCACCTTTCACCCACATGCTCACATTTTCTTGATTTTTTTAGGATTTGGTGGGAAAAGCTTTTTTATGCAACTTTTATTTATTTATTTTTATTTTTTTTGGACAATAGAAACAAATTTTATCCCCAATTGTAACAAAGTTTATTATTTAATGGACAATTTTCATGGAAAACAAAAATGAACACCAAAAGATCCAAAATTTCAATATTTTTCAGGTGGAAAATTATACAAATCAAACACAATTAATTGACAATTCCCAATAAAACAAGTTATATGCAATTCAATTTCCTGAAATTCATTTTCTTTCCACTCAAATTCCATTCTTGCAATCAAACAGACCATTAATCAAGCTTAAAGTATTACCCTTAAGATATTATTTAGATTTATCTTTCTGTTTTATATATCCGGCTGTCCACGAATTGAAATGATATGTCATAAGTTCCATATTGTGTAACTTTTTATTTACAAGGTCACATATGGTTTATTTTGACTTATTTGACACAAGTATGTTTGAGTAAGCATGAAGTATGATTATGGGATTCTCAATCTCTGCATTTACAAAAATAAAAAGTGTAACTCCCACGGGGACTCAGTGACATAAGGTCACCTAGTTCAACACAGACGATAACTAACGTCTAGTTTTACAAATTTAAAAGGACACGAGCAAATCTAGAACTCATAATTGACGAAAAGCAAATAAAATAAAATAAAATAAAAAACCAATAATTAGAAGGAAAATAAAATGAACCCTTTTGAAAAAGAATGACACAATAGAATAAGTGCATGTTTAACAATATTCTACTCTTATACCAAAATCTTTTTCCTACTTTTTAACCATACATTATCCTAAAAATAACTATTCAAAAATTTTTTTTTTTAAAACCAAAATGGTTGTCAAACATGCACTAAATATCCAATAAATTGATCTTTTGTCAAGGATAAGAGTAAGCATTCGGTTGCCCCCAAATCCATGAGACTAAGCCCATGTTTGATAATTCAATCAAACACTCACACAATAAAATATTTTGCACGTAAACCCAAATTTCTTTCCTACTTTTTATCTACACATTCTTTTAAAATCACTATTCAAAATATGATTTTCCCATTTAATGGTTGTGAAACAGATGCTAAACCTTCACCTCGAAATATATATATGTAAATGTTTATTCCAATATTAACCTCATTAAATTTATTTATTTAAATTCTATATATCTACGTTACTTTTGTTACACTCGAAATTTGTCCCTATTATAATTTTAAAAATTACAAAATTTATCCCCAATACTTAAACCTTGCTTTAATAGCTCGAATATTCCCATTAAAAAGTAATATATTAATTTTTTTAATTTTTTCTCCACCTCTTTTTGCAATCAAGAAAATCTAAATTGAAAATCTAGAATCCATAATCGAGTAGGTCCCAAATCGAACTCCAGATTCAAAAAATTAAATGGTGAATGTTACTCAACATATTGGAAAAGAAACACTATTGTTTTCTGTGTCTTCAAGAATTAGATCCTACAATCAATTTTTCTTGCCATATCTTCTAATTCAAATCAAATTTTGTGAGTTCCGCTAGGTCTATTTCTGTCCTTGAAGTAATAGAAACACTTAATTTTTCTTCTTCTCTGGATCAAAGGAGGGTTTTCAAGATTCTATTCATTTATTTCAGTAGTGCCTTTGAAAATTTGTTAAATGTACAGAAAGAATGGAGTAATATTCAGGTTTGAAGAAATTTACATGCATTAGAAACTTTCTTACATCAGAAAACATATAAAGAGAGTTTTGAGATTGAATTTTTCAGAAATAAAAAAAGCTCCCAATTGCTAGGAATCAAAGGTAACCATATTTATATGCATTAATGTTTTCAAATAAATTTAATATTTCAGCGTCGTCTTCTTCAATATCAGCGAGACGAGTAGGTGCAGGGGGTACCTGATTAATATTTGCACATATTCGTTTGGTATATAATTCATACATTCTACATAAGGTTTGTTCTAAATTTCTATAAGTGATAGGTGTATTGAAAGTTATAATTTTTGAAATCTGATTAATTACATATTTAATACCTGATAATTGTATAAGAGGTCCATGATGCATGCTAAAAGAAATAACATAGGCAAGTTGTTGACCACAAAAAATGTAAGGCCAACGTGGACAAAAGATGTCGGGCCCACTCACCCCAACTCAAGCCAGTTCCGACGCGTTTAACCAGAGAACCAGACAGAGGAAGGGAGAGCGTGAATGCGAGAGGTGCTTTACTGCACGAGATAAAAGTGTTCGAGCACCGACGATAGTAGCAAAAACGTGTTCGTGTGAAACCCGCAAGCTTACGTGATCGTTGAAAAGTAATAGAATTGATGAGTTGAGAGTATCGTCCCACAGGAAATAAATTCTATTCAAGTGTACTAACTTTTTATGGGATTCAAATTATGTAAACAAAAGAGAATTTGAATTGATTTTATATTTAATTAATTTAAGAAAGCTGTAAAACTGTGGATTTTATCAATTTATGAATGATTGTAATGGATGTCGAATTCGCCTATTGTTATCTATTTCAATTCTTGATTTGTAATCTAGTTCCGATGATGCGTCTTGACAATCGATAAAATTATGATATATAATTTTCTTTTCCAATACAAATTAAATCTATTCTAGTCACGACCTGAATTCGAATGACTAGAATGCATTAAAGTTTGGATTATCTATATGATTGTACATGTGATAAATGTTATTCCTAACATTTATTGCTCATATGTTAATTCTACCGCGCTCTAACCGTATTGTGAGTCTCCCAACACTACACTAATCTATTAATTATCTAATTGGTAGCCATTCAATTAAATAATGCAATGTGTATGAAAAATTAATCAAGAAACGCACACCACACCAACAAACACCATTTGCAACACATAAAAGGTAACATTCGGTGGTTAAATGTCGCTAAAACGATCTATCGCAACATTCTAATACATGAATGTTGCCATTGCCTAATAAAATTGAGCTTTGGCAACATTTTTTAAGTTAATGTTGCTAATGTTGCTTTTTTGCAATGTTTTTTCAGTGTTGCGAATTTTTTTATTTTTTGCAACGTTTTTTAAACGTTGCGGAAGACAAAGCTTTTCGAAATGCTTAAAAAATTTGCGAAAAGTGTCTTTCATAACGTTTTTTAAACATTGCGAAAGTTTATTTTGCTTTCCGCAATTTTTTTTTTTGATTTTTGCAACATTTTTAAATGTTGCGAAAAACGCTTTCCGCATTTTTTTTTCCTGATTTTTGCAACATTTCCACTCCCCTTTAAATTAACCCTCACTTTTCCTCCTCTCGTCTCCACCTCTCCTCTCTTCTTTCCCCAAATCTCTATCTTCTTCAATTGGGAGCTTAGATTCGTGCTGATTTCCTCACTCGTTTTGTAGTCCCAGTTGATTGTATCTAATA